TATATATATATATATAAGTTTATAAACTCATTTGTTTCATGACATTACCAATATTTTCGCGAGAATGAACCTACACGTTACAAGTAATATTATAAATACTTAAACTGCAATATAATACTCTAGCGTAACATACAAGTTAAATGTCTGTACAAGCTGTATTTATCGTTTCTTTTAATTAAGTAACAAATTTAAAATCCCTGTAGGACAAACTTAAAATAATAGAAAAACGTGATTATGTTGATGGGTAGTAGTGGAGTTGAAATACTGTGGTGTTTCACATTAAAATCAGACCAAATAATATGAATCTGTTTTATTTAAGAAAGTCATTTGTATTTACAGAAAAAGTATAAATAAAACATGGTCACTTAATTAACTTTATCAGATTATAAAAATATGATTTTGGACGAAATAGGCTAGAAACATGTATTTTTCATCTATTGAATTTCGGTATGGTAAAAAAAATTACAAAACCTCTAGCATTGTTGATTATTCATAATTCAAAAAGTAAAAATTTAACGTTAATCAAATATAGTTACTGACCTAAATGGAGAAAAACTGTTTTGTTTATGGCACGACCTAGTTGTCACAAGAATCTTCCCGGTAATTATTTGTTTATCACAAAAGATAGTTTTATTTGATATTATGTTTGGTTTCTAATAAGCTATTAGGGAATTATCGCATGTGAGTTACTCTATTAGCTGTTTTCTTTCATTTAGACTTGCAGCTCATCTTATCAGCTCCCTTGCACCCACACACACACACATATTCACTGCATTTTTTTCTCAGATTGAGACGCTCATTTAAATAGTCTAAGAGTTCTTTTATTAAACAACCGTTATGTGAACGAAAATCCCTGCTTTGAGAATAATAGAGCTCTTCTCAATTTGAACATTTTCTGAAATTTGATTTTCAATCTGCTGTTTGTTTGTCACGTGCATCATAGCTGTTCCGTAACGTTATCATTTGTGGGGGAAGTACAAGTGACGTTTTCTTCAAAGTCACATATTCCTAGATCGGCATTGAATAAAAATCCTTGCTTGCAATAATGTGAAATCTTTTTTCCATCTTTACATCTATAGAATACGTGACAGGATCTCGCATAATCAGGGTAGAAACCATCCGGCTTATTAGAGCAATCGAACAAAAAACGGTGAGGAACACCATGGACATGAGCTGGTTTAGACATTTTGTCAACAACATTGCTGGCTTTCGGACGCATCGTAATGTCTGTTGTAGGTTTTTCAGGGTTAACACACAATACAGTTTCGGCCAAGTCACAGGCCATTGTCCTAGGATTGAAAAGTTTTCCTGTGGAACAAGTGTATAGAAATACCTGATCTTGAAAACAAGCATAATACTGTCGACATCCCGACTTAAAATCTGGATAATATCCATTCATTCTCTCTTCGCATTTCATATCTTTCACGCTGGAAAGCTTTGGTGTTTGGCAAAAGACGTTTTTAGGAAGATCGCAATTTTTTGATTCAGGGTTAAAAAGCAACACACTTGGACAGCTGTATGTTTTCTTGATATTTCTGTAACAAATATGAAATTGTTTACATCCGCTCTCATAATCTGGAAAGAAACCAGTTTCTCCTTCGGGACATTCAAACCCATGTTCATTCGTCAGTGATGAATCTGATGCTGTCTCATCAGACTGGCGTATTGATGAAGAACTAAAGTCAGTTTCTCCTATTGAATATTGTTGAGTGCTAAGGGGAGGATTTATTATAGCTGGTAATGAAGTATGATGAATCAGTCTATAAGTAACTGTGTGAGGTCTTCTTGTCGACCTTGGGAACAATGATGCCTCTTCTCCAAGTGTAGATTTACGTAATGGTGACAAAGTGTTTTCTTGGGAACTCGTTTTCGTTACAGGAAAATAGTACTTTTGACTGGCACTCTCGTTCGGCTGTGACTTTATATTTGATTTGTTAATTGATGGCTCTTGGCTTCCACCTTCATATTCACTACTGCTGCTGCTAGGTGGAGAGATTCTGCTTCTCATACTGGGTGTTACTGAGTATTTTTCCTTCACATCTTTCACAACGCTGTTTGTTTCATTAGTATTTCCTAACCCGACAAGTTGCGCAGTATTTCGAAAGTATTCTAATCCTTCTTTGAGAATAGATGTTGTAGTGGTGGCGATACGTGGTCTTTCTACCACTGTTCCGTCTTCTGTTTCAACGTTGTATGGAGTATCATATCGGTTAACATCATCGTATTCTAGCCTTTCGTAAGGTAGTTGCGTTTCATAAAAAGTTTCATCTCGTACGCCATCTTTCGTCTTGTCCTGAGCAATACCAGCAATAACCATAACTCTGTGATACTTACCATATGTTTCTCCTTCTTTTTCTACTTTTGCACTGTATGACTCAGGAATGTCATATATTTCATAGTTAAAATATTCATAATCGTTAGGCACGCGTGTTGTTACTAATACGTCGCTAAAAAAAGGATAGTTCGTTTCTTTCATCATTTCATCTCTTTGATAAATAGAATCTTTCTCAGTGAACATTTTACCATGATATGGTTGTTTTTCATTCGTCAATCGCGTTTCGTTTCTTAGATTTTTCTCATTTGAAAATGCATTAGTTTTGTTTTGAGTCTCAGTAAAGCCTATTGGTTTAAAGCCTTCGGAAGAATCATTTTTATGTGACTGGTCAATTGTTGAATTGTTACTTCTTCTTTCATTAGTTATTACGTGTTCCTTGACATTTTCTTGTGGTACTTGGTACTCGTCATAAAGTGGAAGTCTACATTTTACCTGAGATTCCAGCTCACAAACCATTGTTAAAGTGTTAAATAAATGATGCTTCGGACAATAGACCGTCATTTTTTGTCCGTTTTCGCAGATGAAATATTTCTGACAGTTTGTGGAATAGTCTGGATACATACCGTCTGTTTTTAAGCTACACGAAAAGTCATCATTGTCCTCAGTCCACGGGTCCTGTACTTGTTGACAATTTACCCGAATAGGATCATCGCAAGATTCAGTTCTAAAATTATACATTAGATTTTCAGGACACATGTAGGAAAATGCGTATTCATTAGCACATATATAGAATAATCTGCAGCTCAGTGCTCCGGCAGAATAAATCCCATTGAGTTTTTCTCGGCAACTAAATGTAGAGTCCGTTTTCTGTAAAACACGGATGATTTGCGAGTTAAATGTATAAGGACGAAATAGCTCTTCTCCAATATTTTGACAATCTTCCTTATCACTGATATCACAGGAGCGTGTAACCACATTGAACCGGCTACCTTTGGGGCAAAGGTATGTCCATCCGGCCTCTCCCCAACACTCGTGCCATTTCGTGCAATCACTTTTTACATCCATATATATTCCTTCGTCACCCTGCAAACATCTGAAATTTCCAAGAATTTTCGGGGCTATGCAGGAAACTGAATTAGACTCTTGACATTGTTTAGTCACAGCACTAAACCTCTTACCTTCTGGACACTTCATTAATTCTTTTCTTCCGTATGCACAAATGTAGTAACGATTACAGTCAGAAATGAAATCTGGAAATAATCCTATTCGACCTTCACAGCCATAATGAGACATACTCCACTGATGAACTGAAGTGAGGACAGGACTATTCTGGCAGTAGACAAGAGGGGATTCCAAACAGCTTCCAACTGAGGCATCAAACAAAGTCGACTCTGGACAATACTGAGTTAAGATTCTACGATGGCTAATGCACACATAATATGCGGAGCAACCAGTGTTAATATCGGGATACATGCCGTCAGGTTTACCTTCGCAGTCAGGATCCTTTGCTGAAGAGCATTTCACCAACGAACGATGGTCACATCTCCAAGTAGCTGGATTCATCAGCTTACCTTGAGCACACGCTCCGAGATGTGTCACGTGGCCATCTCTGCAAATCAAAAATTCCCGACAACCAGTTTCCGACAGGACGTATATCCCATTAGACTTATTCCGACATTCCGAAATTGCAGGCTTCTCACAGTTTGCTTTAGATGGGTAATCGCAAGCTAGAGGGCGTTTGCTGAATGCTAAGTTTGCAGGACAAGAAAAACTCTTCGGTTTGTTTTTAATGCAGAGATGAAACGCTCGGCAGCCATTATCATATTGTGGATAATAACCATCAGGCATGCCATTACAATTAAAAGTAGAGGAATTGAAGCACTGTACTCGATTGGGATGATCACATTTCAATATTTGTTCATTAAAAATTTTCCCCGGAGGACAAATATACTCTAATCTTTCACTGCCACGGCATAAATAATATCGCTTACAGCCCTCTACATAATCAGCATATAATCCGTCAGGCTTGTTCTCACAGGACAGTTGGAAACAAGGTACTTCCTGCATGTCTCGACATGATCCTATCCTCCAGTCAAAGCGTTTGTTTTCGGGACATCTGAAGTCCACTTTTTGCCCTCCTAGTTAAAAATAAAATGATTTTACATGATTTATAATATGTATATTTATTTATAAGTAAATAAATAAATTTAGTAAAAACAAATTATTACACGTCTTCAAGACAATTTTTCTTCTACAACATCACTTCAAGCAGGTAGTTAGTGTTTCTATATTTTCTAAATAAAGTGTTGTATTTATTTATTGTTACTTTCGTTCACAATATTGATTATACTATTTCTTATATTCAATGTCCTTACTTTTTATATTGGTTTTTGTTTGTCATTACACTTTTACTATAAAGATTGTTTTGCATTATTAGGTTAATATATGTATTTAGGACTAACCTAAATCTCCTAAGGTGGCTGAACCTCTTGAGATATTACTGGGATTATGGCCGAACAAATGGTTAACAGCGAGAGTACCCAAATGAGGAAACAATACTTTCTTACCTTTATAAGCAGAAACTCAACAAACATATATCTAATTAGCTACACTCATAACCAGGCTGATTTTTAGTTTCGCTCTAAGTACATAGCTTGCTCTGATCGGAATATGATATTAGTTACTTCACGTGAAAATTAGCGTTAAATACTATTTTTATCATTTATATTTAAGTACGTCCAAAATATTCCTTAAAAAATATCTTTCACAGTAACACATAAAAATGTTGAGAGTTAACTTGTACCGTTTTTTATCATTAAAGGCAGTTTCCTACTAAAAAATAACAGCTTTGTATGAAGCCTAATTAACATTAACTATTACGTATTAGATGTCACTGGTATTTGTTATTGACAGATACGTATCAATTTGTTTACAACGTAGCTTTTGGTCCCACCAGACTTGCCAAATACTTCCATATTTCAAGGAAAAGTTATAGAATAAGTTATTGACTATTGTTCGTGTGTAGGTTTGCCTACTAATTTGTGTTAAATATACTGTTGACCATGAAAGTATTCAATATTTTTGTGTCTAAAATTCACTTAAATACAAAGAGCATTTCTGAAAGGTGTAATAAGTGTATCTTAAAGTTCCACTAGTCTGTCTCTGGGAATTATGAAGTTTGTTGAGTAAAACATTGTTTATGGTCACATTGGCGTAGGAAGCAATTTTTTTGGTGGTCAGGCCATTGACACAGCTAAAAAAATGTGATACACGATAAGTGCAAATCAAAACATTTCTAGGGGAAAGGTTTTCCAAATTTAATGCTATGAGATTGAATCGTGAGTCATTTTAACTGCAAATACTGCAAACACACAACGTAATTTATTGAATTAAAACAAGCAAGTTTTAATACATAAGTTGTAGCTATACATTAAAAACGTTGTCAGACCATGGCCTAACTGGCCTTACTGCTTTCCACTGCTCGGAGTCAGAATCCATAAGCTTGTTCATGGTGAAACTTTCTCCAACGAACGACAGACTGGTAAAAAAATTATCATCTTGGTAGCACCTAAAGCCACGAGGAGGATGCGTCTATTTTTCAAAAATAATATTTTGCATCACCCTTTTGTTTTCCTTAAATGCTTTTCTATCTAACGTTTTTCAAACCGTCTTATGGGCGTTTCCTATGCACATGATGGATCGAATAAAGTCATATTTCAGTCAGTACTAGTAGTTGTATAAAGATGGTTTCAAATCAAGTTGTGATCAGTACCAGTACTTCTATTTGATTGCTCGAAATTATTTTTAGTCATTGTCGTTGCCATTGGTTACAAGTCATTGTTTAGTTAATACCAGCTAACTGATTTGTTGTAAATACTTTTTATCAGCACCAGTGCCTCTGTTGAATAGTTTAAGAAGGTTATTTTAGGGAGTATCTCCTTATAATTTATCATAAATCAAGTTTAGTCAATATTTATAAATTTGCTAAAATCGTCTATTGATCAGCACTAGTACCTCGAAAATTTTTTTTAAATTATTAATTTAGTTACTTTCAATGTCACTGTTGGGTTCACTACCAATCGTCTTTTGGTTAGAACCAGTATCTGTTTGTTTGTTTGGAATTAAGCACAAAGCTACACAATGGGCTCACTGTGCTCTGCTCACCACGGGTATCGAAACCCGGTTTCTAGCGTTGTAAGTTCGCAGACATGCCGTTGTGCCACTGGGGGGGGGGGGCGAACCAGTATCTCTGTTGTATTAGTTGTCGGTTGGTTAGAATTGGGCCACTGCTGGATAGATTTCAAATAATGTCAGACAGCTTCTGTACCTCTGTGATAGTTTTTGTTGATTGATGACAAGTCTTTATGAACCCTCTTTTTTTGTTGTTGTTTCAAGGTTAAAATTTTCTCATATGGAAGAAAATTAAGAAAGAGTTATGTTAAAATGGTATTATCTGAATCCAACAGGACAGGTTTTCTATTTTTTTTATCTATCATTCTTCGACATTTTTGAATTTTGAAGTAAGGAATTTAATCCTCTTTGAAAAAATAAAAAACAAATCTTAAGTATCCACTGGCCTATGACTCGTGGTGAAGTACATCTTTAGAAATGATACTTTACTCTGTATTTAGGATTTTGTACACTAGCAAACTGATCATGACTGATACTTTAAAAGACAAATGTTTATGTCATAAAACTAGAATACTCTCTTGTGGTGAAGTACATCTTTAGAAATGATACTTTACTCTGTATTTAAGATTTTGTACACTAGCAAACTGATTATGACTGATACTTTAAAAGACTAATTTTTATGTCATAAAACTCGAATATTCTCTTTTACACACCTCGACATAAGTAAAATCCACTACAGCCACTAGCGTAGTCAGTATAGACCCCATCCTCTTGATCCATACACTCTCCAACTAGCGCTGACGAGGTTGACTTCTCGGGGTCAACACAGCGCACCCTATGTGCCAAGTCACAGTGACCAGTGTCGGAATTGAAAATGGTGCCATTAAAACACCAGAATACGTGGGTTTGTCCTCTTTCACACAGGTAGAAAAACTTGCATGCTCTCTGATAGTCAGGATAAGCCCCGTCAGGTTTACCATTACAGTCAAAGGGCAAATGGTCCAAAACGTATTCTGTTTGCTCGTAAACGTCGTCTAAGCTGAGAGCAGTAGAAAACTTTCGTGGATCCTAAAAACAAAAACCAATTTGACGGTTATAAGATATTTATGTACTGCAGCAAAAGAACAATTTATATATATATATATTCTTTTTTTCATTTGCTTCGTTTGTTATCTGTTCTTCCTGAGAATGGTTCCTTCTTTGTGAGATCAGGCACACTATTCATAAGTCAGAGAGATCAGGCACACTATTCATAAGTCAACCGAAAACCACCAGCTTTCTTCAAGCAACGCAAAGAAAGTCTTTACAGAATATTTTATCCAAAACGTAACGCCTAGTTTAATATTACTATATCTAAAAAATATGAAACAATTTATATATCAAAAAGCTTTTCATTTAATATCTTTTTTTGGTTTGTTTGTTTTATTTAGTCACTCCAATGGCTTTGTCATGACTCGACTAAACACCAAACGATGATACACGGAAGTGACTGAAACATCAGCTTAGAAAATGAAAATTACAAGTAATTCATCTTAAACTTTTAATCTATTCAGAAAAACAGAACTTCAAAACTAACATTCTAGTTAAATTAAATTATCTTATACTGGTATTAGCTACTAACTAATTAGTCTAGTTTGTTTTGTTTTTAATTTTCAAACAATTGAAATACATTACAAATCTATTACCTGAGGAGGACCTTGTGAGATGTTGTCTTGTGCTTCTAAAGCCAGGACTTGAAGTAGATGAAACCCTTGAAAAGACAAATCCTGTTATTACATCTCAAATATAATAAAAATGTTTCAAAGTATATTCTTTTACTATATATTTTCCGTCTGAACTGCGTCTTATACGAAACATGAGCTAAACGGCCAGATTAGAGACCACACAGGCATAAGCATAGCCATCTCTAGCTGCTATCGTGGAAGAGCAATCAGTCAACAACACTCGCTGTCTATACGGTTACTCTTAAAGTGACTGTCACAGATATAGCACCTCTACAACTGTTCGATCCTAAGGCCTTAAGAGTGAAAGAAAAGAAGAAGGTACAAGAGTACTTTTCTTAAGGGAACACAGTTTCACAACAGAAACAAAATCTTAAGTTTTATTTATCCACATTTTGTTTATTTGTTGTTAAGCACAAAACTACACAATAAGCTATCTATGCTGTGCCTATCATGGGTGTAGAAACCCAATTTTCAGCGTTATACATCCATAAACTTATCGCTGACCCAGTGAGGAGGAAAATTTATCCGGAAACTTTGAACATGGTACATTGTCTAAAAACATTATTATCTACATACATAAATGTGATCTTGGTACAAACCAACACCCATTTTATTTCTCTTCCTTTCAACCATAGAAAAAAATGTATTTATTTCAACAATCAGAATAAAAATTCCAACAGGGGACTAAAATTCTACAATTGGGGCTAAAGTTTCGTTTTTTAAGAATTATTTCATCAAAGACAAATTAAAACGCATATCAAAAAGAAACTTAAAATCTCAAGATTTCAGTAATAATTTTATTTTAGAAAAAAATTTGTGGGGGATACATCACAAATTTAATTTTTCAAAAATTGATGTCATGGTGTCTCATTTTTTTGTGACTCAAACAGAATGTGATCATGTGATGGACACCTGAAAATTTAGTTAAGATGTTTACTGGGCTACCAGCTATCGTATTTGACTCGCTAATAAAATTTATTTAGCTCCCCCCCCCTTTTTCTGAAGTCTTTCCGGCGCCACAGCTTCCAACATACAATATTAGTTGTTTGAAGAAAACACACGACAACGTGCAACTTACTGCAAAAATCACTGAACCCTTTCCAGAACTGATTATACTTGCAGTCGTTTCACTTATGAATTGAACCCTTTCCAGAACTGATGATAATTGCAGTCGTTTCACTTATGAATTGAACCCTTTCCAGAACTGATTATGCTTGCAGTCGTTTCACTTATGAATTGAACCCTTTCCAGAACTGATGATAATTGCAGTCGTTTCACTTATGAATTGAACCCTTTCCAGAACTGATGATGCTTGCAGTCGTTTCACTTATAAATAAGCTTCAAATGCTGACCGAGAATAAGAGAAAGAACACTGAAAATTTTCTGTGACAGTAATTGAAACATCCTGCATCACGTACACTTATGTTCTCACTATGCCTCTGATGAAATTTAGCTCCCCCTAAGATGAAAAGATTTAAAGACATAATCATTTGAAACATGGATTCCTCCTTGTAATCATTCTGTAGGATACATGGAGCGTGAACACGAAATGATTGGTGACCAACTGATTGTTCAACTGAGTGGTCAACAGAAACTTCTTTATTTATTCGTGTGTGTTTCGTGAGAACGGTTACACATATAAAGCGTTCTTGTAGCAAGACCTCCTTCTGGGATTGAAAGTAATAACTTCAACGTAAATCTACTTATGAAAAAAAAAGGAAACTTGGTTGTGTTAGTTATCTAAGTTTTAGCACCATCTATTGTGTAAAGAACTTAAAAGTAAACACTTTATGAGGACTGACAATAAGGGCGTGAGTCAACAGAGTAACTACAAGGTCACTCTGTTCGGATTAAACACTTGAGCAATTAAAACGATTATTTTCCCTGTGCTAACTGGCTATTTTGTTTTTTGTTGTTGGTTTTTTTTTATTTTGATGGTCACTTAGCATTTACACCAGCATGGCTATTCAATTCTTTATCGTATGACACCACTTTTATTTTGTTATATATTAATACGAGGATTCATGCGTTCTCTTGTCGCAAAAACACGTTCCGTAGTTTGAGACTGTAGATGCACAATAAAGTAACAATTAAATTCCACTATTCGATCAGACATGAGTAATCCAAACGTTAGCGGTAGGTACTGATCACAAACTGTCTTCAGTATAGTCTATCAGTGAGTGTGTCTTTGTGCAAAATTCTGGAACATTTTTGTATTTTTTTTCTTTTTGTAAATAAGCACGAACCCACACATTGGGCTATCTGTGCTATGCCCACCAAAGACTTCTCGCTGAGCCACTGTGGGGGGGGGGGTAATTCTGAAGCAAACAAACAAATATTTTTAAGAGTGAAAACTTGATATTACTTTTAGAATGTGCTGAGTTCAGTTTAAACCTAAAACAAAATACAATTATCATGAACCACGACCTTTCTTGATATCATTTGTAGAGAAATAAACAAAACAAATAATGACATTAGACATATTCTTATGATACTTAAAGTGTTGTAAGACATTTTAACTGTGTATATTCTATAAAGAATTATTGAAATTCCAAAAGCCTCGTCTACGTTCTATAGAATAAAACCTGCACATGATTAATTAAATAATAATAATAACTTGAACAATGCTCGCTCTAAATTTTACTTTTCTGCTATAACTTATACGATAATTTTACCAGTTTGTTTCGTGTCCTGCAGTTTGTTGGGTCTATTATAAAGGGCCTTCGTGTAAGCAATTATGAGTAGTAGTGATGACATTAAATGTAGATGAAAGTAAACCAGGACAGGAGATGTGAAAAATCCACTAGTTGATTCTCAGACTTCATGCAGAAAGTAGGTCTAATACACAAGTGTTCAGTTACTTGGTACTTACAACGCTAAGACATTTGTGAATAACGTGGTTGTCGTAATTTCTACTAAACAAATTGGTCGTAATTATGTGAATAAGAACTAAAGTTTCATTCAGAGATCGCTTATTTTCCCATTTTAGAAATAGAAAATTATATGTAATTACCAATAACAAAAGTCACAAGTTGGTCACAGTATCTCTTCCAACATAGCATCTTTTCTGTAGCAGCCTTGCAGTAGAAATTGAAATGTCATATTCTTACAACTCACGAAATTGTGTTATTCTGGGCTTATTCGGTACTATAGAACATGAAACTCTTCTTCCGGCTTGGTGTTTTATGTGAGAAGATAATATCTTACTTACTCATTAGACCCACGGTGGCTCAACACTAAGTTTTGAGGTTTACAGAGCTAAACAAATTCAGTAGCAGTGATGAGCATAATACAGATAGCCCATTGTGTGGCTCTACTTTTAACAACAGACGACTGGACTGCTGAAACGGCCGCTGGGAAACTGAAGCCCTTGTACATGAGATAGATTATAGAAAACAAACAGAAAAGAGATGTGTGCTTTGGACACGATAGCCTTACGACAGAGCCTTTTGCAATGGTAACTACGTTGCAGGGCTATTGTTAATACTCACAGTCATCAGATATAACATTGCCGGTCGTAGCAACATGGACTGTAGCGACGTGGTGAGGTTCCTAAAACGTTGTAATATAGCATACTCAACCTACATGTATATATACACAATATCATACTAGTTCTTACAGAGACAAAACAAAACATGTCTTATCAAATATTTCGACTCATTTAGCGATCTTTATTATTCTCTAACTTCTAAAATGTGTTTACTAAAACAGATGGTAATTCAAATTACCATATTTTTATTCTGTAATGGTATCAGATATCTTGTGGGCTCCAAGAAAGATGATGAAGTCACTATTACATATAAGAGGTTAGAATTTTTGTAGAATGTCAAAATTGAATATTTCTGAGTTATTATATTTCTCAGAAAATTTAAGCATTTAATTGGGCGCCACAATCTCATAAAATCTGGGAGCATTTTTACAAATAACTTATTAGTACATAATGTATCATTAATACTGGGCGACAAATAACTTATTTGTACATAATGTATCATTAATACTGGGCGACAAATAACTTATTTGTACATAATGTATCATTAATACTGGGCGACAAATAACTTTTAGTGTAAGATATATTTTAAAAAATGTGCAAATTATTAGTCACGAAATACTGTTTTACATTAGCCATGTAAAAATTATCTATTGTTTATTTGTAATTAAGCACAAAGCCACAGAATGGGCTATCTGTGCTCCGCCCACCACGGGTATCGAAACCCGGACTCTAGCGTTGTAAGTCCGCAGACACACCGCTGTGCCACTGAGGGGCGTCATGTAACACAACTTAAACTCTTTAGTGACGACCACGAACTGCCATCTAAGATCTTTGCTTTTTAACATTGAAAAGCTATATATATTCTATTTCAAGGCTTGTAAAGTAATACTAATATATTGTCTTTATCACAATAAAAACGCACACCTCTCGGGAAGAGAACAGAAAACACAAATTAGCGTGGATTCAAAAACTTCCCAAAGCAATGAAACTGCCTTATTATGATCCACCAGATTTAAGCCCATATGTTGCAAAATAAAGTAGGAGAATTGTGTTCTTCTTTTTTTTTTGTCTTTACCCCCCCCCCCCCGCCTCTTCAGTGGCGGCCCAGCGGTATGTCTGCGGAATTACAACGCTAGAAACCGGCTTTCGATACCCGTGGTGGGCAGAGCACAGATAGCCTATTATATAGCTTTTTGCTTAACATCGAACAAACAAATAAACCTTTGGTCCTGAAAAAAAAAAGTATTACAGACGAGCATATTTTTCTAGTTAACGACTATCGTACTGAATAAAATGAATTGCGTATTAAAATAATATTCACCTTTGCGATCGACCAGTCTATTTTTGATATGAAAAAGACAGTAGTGGATAACATTTTACATTTTTAGGAACCGGAAGAGTGAGTAAAGTACAAATAATGAACTTTCTTGATCCCCAGACTGGGAAATAGGCTATGTTGTCTGTTGTTTTTTCTGCAGTACATTTATGATTGTTTTCTTTGTTTTTCTTACGACCTACTTTTTGTACATTGTTGTCTTTTCCTGACCTTAGAACTTGATGCCTTATTCGTGAAACAGGTCAGTGGCTTTTACGTGGTAGTAATAATGATGAAGAACTGCGCTTCAAAGCACACATCATGGTATTATCTAAGTCTAAACTACGCCGAAAGTCAAACGGCAGTGAAGAGAAAAAAATAAAACACTAAATAGCTTTGTTTCGATTTGCTGTTTTAATTTGAAGGATTAGTGACTTGTCTATATATTTTGCTGTTTTAATTTGAAGGATTAGTAACTTAACTATATATTTTGCTGTTTTAATTTGAAGGATTAGTGACTTAACTATATATTTTGCTGTTTTAATTTGAAGGATTAGTAACTTAACTATATATTTTGCTTTTTTAATTTGAAGGATTAGTGACTTAACTATATATTTTGCTGTTTTAATTTGAAGGATTGGTGACTTAACTAATTAATTTGCTGTTTTAATTTGAAGGATTGGTGACTTAACTAATTAATTTGCTGTTTTAATTTGAAGGATTAGTAACTTAACTATATATTTTTCTGTTTTAATTTGAAGGATTAGTAACTTAAATATATATTTTTCTGTTTTAATTTGAAGGATTAGTAACTTAACTATATATTTTGCTGTTTTAATTTGAAGGATTAGTGACTTAACTATATATTTTGCTGTTTTAATTTGAAGGATTGGTGACTTAGCTAATTAATTTTCTGTTTTAATTTGAAGGATTAGTAACTTAACTAACTATTTTCAAGTATCTATGATCGTAGTTTGCTAGAAGAATTGTCTTTAAGGAACTGAGAATCACATAAAAAGGAAAAGGAGTATATAAATTTATATATGATACATATATAACAATTTTGGAAGCTATAAGAAACGCTAGAGGAAATATAGTGTCATTTAATTCGTAATTCACAATCTACAAATACTTATGTGCTCATCTATGTCGTCATTCCTTCTTGATGGTAAATAAGGCAGACCTAATAGTGTATATCATGTGGGGGCGCTCACCTCACGAATTGACCTCACTGCACGTGATATACCGTCTATGGAAACAAGGTGCATTGCCGCTTTATGCAACAGTCCCAAACAGCATCTGTTTTAAGCACCGTTCCGGGTATTCACAAGTAACCGTCAAAACTCGCGTAATTATGATCCAACTCAGGTTCAGCCTGCGGTGGCCTATTTTTTATGGAAATCACTATAAAGACGGTTCCTCCAAAGTGATATATTTTACATTTCACATTACAATAAATCAACGAAACTTAAAATAAAAGTAAGAAATAAATTCTAAAATTAAATGTACTATAATGTTTTTCTTTTGTTTATTTTAACAGGTGTTGATAATAAAATAAAAATAACCGAATTCTTTAAACTTTAATTGGCATGTTGTTTCCTAAGCAGAACAATAAATCTGTTTACCTAAGTATGTGACAGAAATCCCATAATATACACAATTTACAAGAAGACGTTACATACAATTTAAGGTTTTTATTATTTTCACATCTGATGTGAAGGGGAAAAGCGATCTAATTAAGCCCCATACACAGGATTTATATCATTTACGCAGAGTAGCAAACCCCATTTATCATAACTCTATTGACCTTTGTTTTAAAATAATAAAACCACAATAAACTTACATTAATAGAACTCCTCTATCAGATTAGAGAATACTTAAGTAGTTTGTTTACTTATGTCAGATCCAGAGTTTTAATTATACTTAATTGAAAGGGTTTTATTACCTCCGCCGCCGAAGGTGGATGGAGGTTATATACGTGTTTGTTTGTGTTTGTCAGCAATATTTCCAGAAAAGGTCACGAACATCTAGAAAATCCCTATCTATTAACATGGGGATCGATATTTCACACTATCTTTGCTCTATAACTCAGTAAAAAATGATCGGATATTGATGAAACATGGGGGACATATGTAGAATATTATTCTTCATTATCCTGTCAAACATAGTTGGTGTTCGTTTATAAAGACGGACATACAAACATATTTTCGTCTTTTTTGAAAGTTGAATATGATCAACGCTGCGTAGCTCACTACTGAGTACCCACTTTTAGTCTAATACTGCTCACATCAAGTCGACTGTCTTACGACGTTCCTTCTGTTAATGCAAATTCAGCACTATGTATCGTTTAAATGTTATTTTTTACATTAATTAGAATTTCTACAAACTATAAAGTTTCCTCGTATAACTTCTACATATTACTTGTGTTTTCATGTCTCCGTCAGTAGTCTGTATATAAAACAAAATACATTAAAATATTTCAATAGTTTAAATCAAAACGATACACTTATAAAATATTTGTAATAGAAGTGGTTTTATAATTGTGTTGCGTAAAAAATGCTGCTAAACTTAAAGTACTCGTGAAACTAACTTAAAAACATCATTGTATGAATCGTAATTTTAATTATAAAATCGTTAACTGACGAGTCGGTCATTAAGACCATAAATTTGAAGCCCTAAACTGTACGTGCAATGGTTTCAGAAATGGCACGTCGGTTGTTAAGAGGGAAAAAAACGAAGCCCTAGAATGTTATTTCTCACACAGTAGTGTAACGTTTCACTCAGCTAACTTGATTTTTCTGTTCATTTAATATCGCTTTCAAGAAATAAAATTTTACTTTTAAAATATACTATTTTTTGTCATATCTGTGCACAAGTCAAAGTTTACAATGGCTAAAATTTAAATAGAGTCAAAGCATCTGAAGTTAAATCCTGTAAGAAGTTGTAGACCTTCACCCCATAACACAAGTAGTACTCCTATAAGGCTTCTTAATTCCCAGAAAGACGAGTGTTGCGTCTTCGCATGAGTTATATGAGTGCTGCTCATGAAATCGAATCGGTAACAAATGATGCTAGTTTAAACTGTTATTCAAGAAATAGTCGTTCTGAACCAAGATCAAACTTGACTCACTTAAAGGACACCTTAAAAAGAAACAGATGCTCGAACAACTGATTCGTTACGTTTAATGACAAACGTTTGCTATACTCACCAAGTGACAAGGAGATGAGTTTTTAGAAGATACACTAAAGTCAGTCATGGGAGAATTCTTTTAGTTTTACCTTTTTTGTAGACTGTATTAATTAGCAGTGTATTTCTAGGAATTATATATAGTTTTAGTATTAAGACGATTCCCTGGAGGCTCAGCGGTAATTTTTATGGGATCTAACGCTAAAATTCTGGGTCTAAGCCCTGCTGCGGACACAGCTGTCATAACTCATTATACAGTTTTGCATTGTACAGACACGCAAAAACAACCTGTAACGACGTGTCGCGTTTGCCTTTCCTCCTACACAGTTGGATGTAGACTTGGTAATACTGAGACATCTAATTCACTAGGTAGATATACATATACTCATATATACATCCATATGACTAAACAAAAACCAACACTAAAAATTTTCAAAGAATGCAACATTTTGTAGGCCAAAAATCTTTCCCATAGTTGTATTTTATGTTCTCACAGGGGTTCGAAACTGGAATAGACGCCTTGAGGAGTATATATATATATATATATTATACAACAACACCATCTTTATCTTATGGATTTTAAAGCTTATAGAAGTTTATCCCCACTGTGGGCCTTAGTGACAACCTGACAAAATAGTTAACAGATATATAGCGTAAATTCAGAAACAAAATTCGTTATATTGATCACCCAAACTTTTTTATTTCCAAAACAAACAATTATCGTTTAAGTACTCTTAATATCCACACATTCTGAAACTCGTAGAGAAAAATGTGTTAATCTAAAAGTTTTTTATTTCGAGAATTGCTAAATTTCTTTTCTTCTAATCACGTTTTTGGCTATTTATTACGTGGTCAGTGTTTTTTCATCCTTCTGATATGTTACTAAGTCTTAAACCTTATTTGAATATCTAACCCTTTTTCGTGAATCATACTTAGACAGAGACTAAACGTTTTATATTACATTATTGAAATTAAAGGTCAGAAGAGAAAAAAATTAGAAACGTATTTTTCAGCAAGTTTCTTCCTGCTTCACATGTAAATGCAAATGTTATTATCTCCAGGTGTTTTTACACCATGTGTGTATAAATTATGTTATAGTTGCATCAGTTCCTTAACTATTAGTATTATAACTATTATCAAACAAAAAACATGCCCTCTACTACCACAGAGGAACAACTTTCTAATCAATGTGGCTAGACGAGTGTAGAGGTACCTGTAGCAGAGATTTAGTATTGGGTGAAGTGTCATATTGTTAGCAATACTTGCCTAACGCCCTGGAAACATTAATTTCCAATATGAACAAGTACACCAAAAAAGAACATGAATGCAGTGACATGGTAGCAATTTTGCATTTTAAGAAGTTATATATATCTGTATGTTTATAAATATACATGGTTATTTATCAAACTATATCATATAAGCTTTTTAGAAAAAATTATGTCTTATTTATGCTCGGTTTTTAATTCAAGTGCAATTTACAGATTGACTATAAACCTTGGCACTTCATGCAAGTAATATAACTAACACGTTTTTTAATTTAAACAGCTGTAAAACGAACTTCCAGTATTCGGTTTTCAACTGAATACTCAGACTTGTAATTAGGTTGTTCTATTTAAGGTAAAATTTTAAAAAAGAAGAAAAACTTACGAATGTAAAGTAAAAGCAACGTAATACTCAAACCAGCCATCACATAGTACGTCCAGAAGGGTCTTTCCTTGATAAATTTCTTCCGGAAGTCCGTCTTTGCTAATTTCCTTCTTTTATTCGCTGTTATTTAACTTACTTATTTTCTTATTCTTCTTGTTTTATCATAAACGCAGCAAATGAATAATTTGTAAAAATCTTCTTTGTTCAAAATTGTGTCGTCTGCAACAAAGTTTTTTAAAAAAAAGTCTTAACCGAGATTATTCCTGTGTTGGAGCAACGGGATCCTACAACCGGTTGAAGCCCAGTCAGAAGTTAAAATGATAAGGGTGTCGCGTGCCTGACGATCCCCCACCAGCCACCTGGCCCCCTTTACAGGTCCCGATAGTATGCAGCCTGGTAACGAATCCCCATGCACTGCTCGTTCAAAGAAAAAAAGACATTAGCTGACGATGCGGATGAAGGAAGAACGTCCTCTGAGTTTGTAAAAATTCAGTCTCTTATACATTTCGATAATGGATGTCGCATAAATGTTTTTAAATATTGGTTTTTATCTACAGCACCTAAAAGTAATATTTGATAAACTTTATTCAACAAAGAGTCTGTTAAATATAAATTCAATAATCTGTAGTAATAAAAACTTCATTGTTTGGATATATTGGAATATAATCAGATATTTCATGAGTTAAACGTCTATCCAAGAATGGTAAAAATAAAACTCAAAAACGTGTTTGCGTATAAGAAGCTAATATTTCTCCCACAGTTTCTTTGTGTGTAAATGTCAATTTGCATAGAAAACATCGCTTACAGGAATGAATTTTTGTGTGTGTGTTATTTATTATTTTATTTTATTTTTACTAGGATCTTCATAATTGAAAAATTATGTATACACTTGGATACATTTCGTTATATTTGAAGTATTTTGGATTTTCAATCTAAACGACAGAATATGCGTTACATGCCTATTTAGCTACTGTTTACCAAATAACGCCCCAACAGAGAAAAGTGCGGGGTATACTCAATAGCATTTCGCAATTTGAATCTTGGACCTTTTGAACGAAAATCCAGCACAGAGACCATTAGGCCATTCCAGCCACATTCTACTTTTTATTTTATATAATGTTGCCATCTTTTCATGCTTCAACAGACAACTTAGATTTTTAAGATTTTCATTAAAGTGAGCAAAATTTGTTCACTTTAATGTTTGTTTTTTGGAATTTCGCGCAAAGCTACACGAGGGCTATCTGCGCTAGCCGTCCCTAATTTAGCAGTGTAAGACTAGAGGGAAGGCAGCTAGTCATCACCACCCACCGCCAACTCTTGGGCTAATCTTTTACCAACGAATAGTGGGATTGACCGTCACATTATAACGCCCCCACGGCTGAAAGGGCGAGCATGTTTGGTGGGATGCGGATTCGAACCCACGACCCTCAGAGTTCACTTTAATAAAAATCAACATGTAAGATCCGTATATTTGTAGTGCGACTTAAGTTTGTGAAATATCGCTTATTACGAGTGTTATATTGCGTTTATCTTAAGGGTTATTCTGTCATTGAACTCGGCAATGTTAAACAAAAAGTTTCTTTTTATATGATTTTAAAGAAATGAAATGCGATAAAGGTATAAACCTTGTAGGAATGATTAGCATTTTCAGTTTTAAACGTAATGCACAGATCATTACGAGTTCAATACATATGTACAATGATATCCTAAAAAGTATATTCATAGTACAAAAAATTGCCTATGTACTTCTCTTTACATATCACATTTGTCAATTTCTGTTCTAACATTACAATGAACTACTTAGTTTGGTTTGAATTTCGTGCAAAGCTACACGAGGGCTATCTGCTCTAGCCGTCCCTAATTTAGCAATGAAAGACTAGAGGGAAGGTAGCTAGTCATCACCACCCACCGCCAACTCTTAGGCAACTCTTTTTACCAACGAATGGTGGGATTGGCCGTCACTTTATAACGCCCTTACGACTGAAAGGGCGAGGGGATTCGAACCTACGACCCTCAGATTGCCAGTGATTAAGATCACGAGCATTACTAATTGAAACACAGAGATGTTTAAACCTTAAAGAATTGAGCGTCCTTTAGACACAAAGCTGAACCAGAGCTTTAAAAAATCAAATCGCAAATTTAGTGACATCTAGGGACAAAACTGTGTATTATCTGTCCCCACTTTGTTTGTTTTGTTGTTGTTGTTGTTGTTTTTAGTCGAGAATTCTTTAAATATAATATTTTCTTTATCCAAATGTTGGTACATCTAGAGAATTAAATTGAATATATAGAAATACTCATACAAACTTCGTCAAGTTTGGTTACCATGTTTACACAAATTAGAATAAATAGCAGTTTCGTAAAAATAACATACTGACTTCAATACCTGCCTTCAATACTAATGTTTAATGAAACAGCTAGGGTTAAAGCTAAGAATATTAAACTGATTTTAAAACACTTTACCATCTTTATCTTAGTAAAATACGCACGAGAAATGTAACTGAAATACATAAGTGTCGTTACTACTTGTAAGTGTTGTTACTACTTCCTCTCACCTGAATGTATCCCGGATCTTGTTATTGATATGTGACGGAAAAAAAAAACATGCAAAGAAATATATATTTTGCTTAACTTATAGAAATTAGTCTTGATTCAAAATCACGTCACCCGTTTGGCTGGTTCAGTTGTAATCTGACTTACAGGGCTAGTAGATTTCTTTATGTATGCAGGAACTGTGCCAACTAACAGATCCGCTTGTGCAATTTCTTTAGGTACACAATGACGAAAGCCGACAATAAACTTATCTTGTACTTTCTGATGAAAATTTAGCACTGTGTTAACAGAATACATTATTATACTTACCAGCATCTAGTAGCCGTAAATACCTTAAAATAAGAAGATCATTAAAGAATTCGTTGTATTTGCAAACCCTTCTTATGGACGTTCTTATGGATAGAACTTTAGTTTTACATACTCCTCGTAAATAGTTTTTGGGATTTTCCGACTTCTTTTTTTTTTTATACTGTTGTTTCATAACTCAATTTCACCATTGAGTTAGACTCTTCAAAGAATTGCAGTTGTACAAAGAAAACTGTCAGAATTACAAATGAAGTAATTCAATTACATGTTACTTAGCAACGAAATTAAAACGTTTGTTACCGTTGAAAATGTACAGTGGCTAGTTATTAAAATTTTGTATATGGCGTTCGGTCTACAACAGTGTCTATAACTGGAACAGTGATGCAGCATTTGGATACATTGTTTACAAAACTCAGATACTTTCCTAACTTAATAAATTAAGATCAAAGCATTTTAATAAATAACCTTTCCAGTAAATAAGATATACTGGTAAAGCTTCCTTTTATGAATAAGTTAGAAATTTACTATCGACTGACTGAACGCACGAGAACTACATAACAAGTTCTTGCAAGTGAATTGAGCGGCAAAACTTAATTAATATGTGCATACATCATTGAATATTAACTGAAGAATGATGAATAAAATTGTGAAATCGGTTTCATGATACATGTATATTTATCAATGTAATGAAAATAAAGAGTAGCTCAATCACCCATTATAATTATTATTGCTTTTGAACGTGACTGACATACCCAACACTGATGACGGTTTGTTTGTAGTGACGCACTCAGCTACACAATAGGCTATCTGTGGCCTGCCCATCACGGGTATCGATACCCGGTTGCTAGCGTTGTAAGTCGCAGTCATACCGCTGGGTGGCCTGATGACACTTCCTCAGCCACAACTAGAGTTCCCAGAGCTTCAGCTTTTCACAAAAATAAACGAACCATTTCACAATCTCATTATACAAATTTATCAAAACATAAACGATTTAATAGATTTAATTGCCTGACATGTTGTATGTATTTTTTAAAAAATTCACCTACAGGGTTTTAAAGAAACTACTCTATGTTGTTATTAAAGCTAAAATATAGGAAAATGAAGTGCCTTTCTTATATTCTTTTTTTTAACGTGGTCGATTGTAAAGCCTTCTTTTATTGCACACACACTGTACTGTTCAAAAACTGTTGTACGTACTATAGAGATAAAACAACAGAGGAGCTAAGTTTAGCGTTTAAAGAAAAGGGGGGGATCCATAATAACGACGTTTTCTTACTTTCGATTAACCTAAATCAAATGTGCTGCTTGAATTAAAGAGGTAAATGTTATACATGCTTTATAAGTAATTGAAGTTGGGGCACAAACTACTGAGAGGGGAGTGCGGTAGAATGCATTTTTCTAGAATGAGATTAAAATAAATTTTACAATTAAGAAAACACACGATGTTTAAAGCCAAAGTTGTCCTACATCTAAACTATCATTCACAATGCATGGGGAAAGTAGTTGTAGCTGTGTAATAAAACTAAGGCTGTGCAGGTGAAGTACGGTCTATAGTTCAACGAACCCCCCGTAACTTTATATATATTCAACAATTCAGTCTAACTGGACCAAGAGTAAATATAATCAGAAACACATTGTACTACTGTTGTTTTTCCTTTAATGAATCACATTTTTTGAGTATATATTTTCACAACATTTCATTTGGGATGCTAGTCCTAGCATTCGTGTTTCGTTCGATTTTCGATTATCTCATAAAGCATATTTAGCTCATATTAGGTAATAAACACTATACCGTTACTGTGTGAAAGATGCACTTTCGAGATATAGCAGTCATGTTATCTTTTAGAACTTTGTCAAGCACGTACGTACTTTATATATTAACTTTCGGATTTACTTTCTTTGGAAGTTATCGCATAGTTATTGCAAACATGCTCGCCCTTTCAGGCGTGGGGGCGTTATAATGTGATGGTC